TCATAAAAGAGTTTTGAATTAGGAGACTATCACCTAGCTATTTGGTTGTTTAAAAAAAATTTGTTTATCGACTAAAATATTTTTTTTAATAGAATATATTAGTTTTTAACTCACAAAAAAGAAATTAGAACAAAAAATCCAAATTTTGCACCAGAAATATAAAAACATTGTTATAATATATATAGCTAAATAATTTAGGTTAAAAACATCCCTAACTTTAAAGAGCATATAGATGAAAAAAGAGAAGAGAAATTTCAAAAAATACTACTTTTTAAGTGCCACTTTACAAAAATGTCACATTTTTGAAATCTTTACAAAAATGCCATTTTTCCAAAATTATTTTTTCAAAATTATTTTTTCAAAATTATTTTTTCTTTATATCATTTATGTTTGGGTTAATTATGTTCTATTAGGGTTTAGTTATGAGGGTTTGGGGGAGTTTTAGGGTTCAAAACATTTTTTAGGGTTTAGAATTTTAAGATATAGGTTTTATAAATCTATAATTAGTGGCATTTTTGCAAATAGGCACCCCTAAGTGGCATACTTGCAAATGTGCATACAAAAAGTGGTATTTTTGTAATTGTCCCAAAAGAGAAACTGTTAAGAAACTTATTATTTGCGTGGGTTCTACAAAAAAATATAAAAAAAAAGAATGAATATTTTATAGGGCATTTGATAATTAAACAAGGGATAATTTGCTCAAAATACAACAAAAAAATTATAACTTAAAAACTAACCAAAAATCCCAAAATCAATGGTCTAGATTTTCTCACATACCCCATTTTTACTAACTTTTTTAATTTTTTTTTGTTATACACCAAAATGACCCATTAAACAATGAAAAACCACTTAGTACTCCATTTAGCAGCCTGAAAAAAAAAAATTAGTACAAAGTAAATGATGATTTGTATGCGTCAAGATCACAATTGATTTAAAGCTAAAAATAAAGGAAGATTCGAAATTATTAAAATTGATTCTTTTTAAATTAATTTAATCGACCGACTCACACTTTTGTTGTTAGGTTAACAAACGTAATCTTTTCACGAAAATCCAACGGCACTAAGAATTAAAAGATTCG